GTAATGGGGTCGTGGCCCAAGCCTTTGAAAAAGGAGTCATTAGGGTCATTGTTGGCCTGGCTGACCAGGCGAGATGTTTTGGTACCCTGCATGACGACATAGTTTTTCAGATGAATCCAGGAAGTAATCAACTCCATCCCTGCGTTGTAGGGTTTTGAGAGCTGGAACCTAAGACCCCCCCCCCACTTTTTTAAGGTTGGTTTTGCTCTCTTAACTTAGGCTACGTTCACACTGCAGGCTTGATGCTAAATTCCAATTTTTTTGTGAAATCCAATTTTTTCGCGTTGCCATTCATATTTCCAAATATATGCAACTTGTATGTGTGTACTGCCGTCATAAATGCAGGAATCCCGGCACTAGCCTCTGTCTTAGGGTCCTGCTTTCCCGCTATCATCTCAAACCTCATCGCCAAGCAAGGGACCAAAATATCTCGCCTGGTCAGCCAGGCCAACAATGATCTTAACGACTCCCTTTTCAGAGCATGGGCCAGTATCGGGTTTCACAGGTCAACAACGACCTCAACAACTCCCCATTACTTAGTGGTGGACCTGTTTTTTCTGTCAATTTGCATGTTTTCAAAGCCTTAACAATGCTTTTGTTTGTGCCACTCTTTAAGCCTGGAGCTCAAATGCTACTCCAGACATTTTGAACTGAGAAAGCTTCCCGGACGGGAAGCGAAACTTAGATTAGATTAGATTCAACTTTATTGTCATTACACAGGTACAGGTACAAGGCAACGAAATGCAGTTTAGGTCTAACCAGAAGTGCAATAGCAGCAAGTGCAGGATAAATAATGGTTCCATAAGTACAGAACATGGGTTTCTACTGAATAAATATAGAGATGAATACCATTATAAACAGAATTTTACTGATAGATTTATCCCATGAATATAATATATAGAAAGCTAGTGTTATTAACTAAATATACAGCTGATATGTAACATCTTCAAACTTAGAAAACTAATTTTATTTTAATTTTTTTTTCACTTTTTTAACTTGGTTGGAATGACTATGACCTGGATGACGGAAAATATTCACCAGCAAAATGTACATTTCTACAATCTTCCAACTTTTACAGCTTATGCGTAGTATTCCTGCAGTAATTAAATAGCTGGCAGGATTTTTTAGTTTGGAAGTCAAAAATCAGAATATCTTGGCTTTCATTATTTATCTAAATGACTTTTTTTACATTGTGTTATTCCCTCTGGTTTTTCTTGCAACGTGTCTCATGTTTCTCCTTCAGTGTACTTTTGCTGAACTTTCCACATCCACTGTGTATTGGTGTCTCTCTCTTTTTTTTTTTTTTTTTACAGCTTTTTGATCCTCTTTTTCACTCTGTCTTGTTACTCAGAGTGACTGTACAATGTAATAGTTGATTTACTTTATTGTTTTGGGATATGTCTTGTGGCTCCCCAACAGCAGCAGGCTTTGAAAAGAATTTAGCTTGTGTATTTTTTATATCCATTGCAGTTGAACATTGGGACATACAGTAATTCTCTATGCCTATTGGTTGGTCTTTCTAAGCATTATGGTATAGCTTTTTCATGTGTTCACCCACAAATAAACTGATATTATTCTGGTCTGACCCTATGATAATGAACAAGACATGGAAACAATGATTTCCTATTGCAAGTATTGGTGTGGGAAAAAAATCAGTTGGGTGATACATTCTGATTTACAACTGCCCAATATTATATTTATCTCTCAGTTCCTAATACCGATATAAAAAAAATAAAAAAATTGGTTATAGAGTCCATCTCATGCCACCACAAGGGTGAAAGCTCCATAAGCTTTCAAAATTCACCAAAACGTCAGCCAGAAAGCAAAGATACTGAAAAGTAGTCTGTGGTCTCCACCTACAGAACCACTCCTTTACTGAGTGTGTCTTGCTAATTGCAAATAATGTCCACATGTGTTCTATTCCATTTGCACCAGAGCATGTGAAACTGATTGTCAATAATTGTTTCTTCCTAAGTGGACAGTTTGATTTCACAGAAAGTGTTATTTGGTTGAAGTTATGTTTTTTTTCCTGTTATTATTTTGAGCAGTGTGTTTTAAGTTTTCAAACAAAAACAAACAAACAAACAAAAACAACAAAAATCACTGCAGTATACCTACTTTATTTTTTTTTTGTTGGGGCTTCTTTTTTTTTTTTGCTTAAGTTACTGCACCTATTTGGCATTGTAAAGAGGCAAACAGCCTGCAGCACTGCTAAGTTGTCAAAGAACTCTTTTTTTTTCATCAACATTGTTGTGTTTGGCATTTCTCATCTTCCTTTTGGTAACATAGTAGTTTGACTATGGGTCAAGCCAGTTTGCAGGGAAATTCTGTATTATCGTACAACACAAATTTTAAAAATTAAATCAGAAGTTGATTGTCAATGTGGGGGTGAAGGCTGGTTGAGGACCCAAATGCAGAGATGAGGAGGGCAGAGATAAGTTCTTGCAGGTTTAATGAAATCAGAAAGGCAGCAGAAACAAAATCAAAAAACAAAATACCAGAAACCAAAATCCAGGGGAAAACACATACGAGGAGCCAAGCAACACAAGAAACCAACACTGAAGAATTGCACAGGGAGAGTATATATAGGAGACAGAACAAAGACTGGGGTATTCAGCTCATATGGAGCAGGTGTGGATAGAAGTGACTAGAAGGGAGCTAGGGGAAAGAAAATAGGCACAAGGGGGCAAAAGCGAGTAACTCAAAAAAGCAACGCAGCTTAAATATAACACTGAATGGTAAATAAACCAAAGACCAACAAAACAGAATGACAGAGAAGATAACTGAAACCTCAAAGTGCAAAAGGGAATAACCATAAAATTGATACACTATATTGCCAAAAGTATTTGCTCACCTGCCTTGACTCACATATGAGCTTAAGTGACATCCCGTTCCTAATCCATAGGGTTCAATATGACGTCGGTCCACCCTTTGCAGCTAGAACAGCTTCAACTCTTCTGGGAAGGCTGTCCACAAGGTTTAGGAGTGTGTTTATGGGAATTTTTGACCATTCTTCCAGAAGCGCATTTGTGAGGTCGCACACTGATGTTGGACGAGAAGGCCTGGCTCTCAGTCTCCGCTCTAATTCATCCCAAAGGTGTTCTATCGGGTTGAGGTCAGGACTCTGTGCAGGCCAGTCAAGTTCATCCACACCAGACTCTGTCATCCATGTCTTTATGGACCTTGCTTTGTGCACTGGTGCACAGTCATGTTGGAAGAGGAAGGGGCCAGCTCCAAACTGTTCCCACAAAGTTGGGAGCATGGAATTGTCCAAAATGTCTTGGTATGCTGAAGCATTCAGAGTTCCTTTCACTGGAACTAAGGGGCCAAGCCCAGCTCCTGAAAAACAACCCCACACCATAATCCCCCCTCCACCAAACTTTACACTTGGCACAATGCAGTCAGACAAGTACCGTTCTCCTGGCAACCGCCAAACCCAGACCCGTCCATCAGATTGCCAGATGGAGAAGCGCGATTCGTCACTCCAGAGAACGCGTCTCCACTGCTCTAGAGTCCAGTGGCGGCGTGCTTTACACCACCGCATCCGACGCTTTGCATTGCACTTGGTGATGTATGGCTTGGATGCAGCTGCTCGACCATGGAAACCCATTCCATGAAGCTCTCTGCGCACTGTTCTATAGCTAATCTGAAGGCCACATGAAGTTTGGAGGTCTGTAGTGATTGACTCTGCAGAAAGTTGGCGACCTCTTCGCACTATGCGCGTCAGCATCCGCTGACCCCGCTCCGTCAGTTTACGTGGCCTACCACTTCGTGGCTGAGTTGCTGTCGTTCCCAAACACTTCCATTTTCTTATAATACAGCTGACAGTTGACTGTGGAATATTTAGGAGCGAGGAAATTTCACGACTGGATTTGTTGCACAGGTGGCATCCTATCACAGTTCCACGCTGGAATTCACTGAGCTCCTGAGAGCGACCCATTCTTTCACAAATGTTTGTAAAAACAGTCTGCATGCCTAGGTGCTTGAATTTATACACCTGTGGCCATGGAAGTGATTGGAACACCTGATTCCAATAATTTGGATGGGTGAGCAAATACTTTTGGCAATATAGTGTACTTTAAGCAGTGGAGGTTCAGTTGCAAAAAAAAAAAAAAAAAAAAAAGCTATAAGCACAGGGAAGCATAAATATTTCACAAATGTCTAATAGTAATATGGTAGATGTCTCCATTAATTCTGGACTAACACCTGACCAACGCTAGTACTGTAGATGAAATATAGTTGAAATGTCCTCTCCAAGGAACTATGGAACTATGGAAGCTTGACCCTACACATTACGACACTTGGAGTCCATTGAACCCCCTCCCTCCTTTCTTTAGCCTCTGGGACCTTGATTTTCTAATATAATACATCATTTTCATTAACTAAACAACAGGGGAGCCTTTCTTTTCTTTTAAAATTTAATTACTTACATAAATGAATACACTTTTTGATTGGATTTTTAATAACCTATAAAGCACCTGTAGTGCGGTAATATTGCATTTTTAGGACATAAAAAATAGAGCAAAATCAAAAGAAACATATTCACTCTAATACATACTGTTATAAGGAAGCTTAAACTAGCCTGTGGTCTTTGATAGTCAGAGAGACATATTGATCCTGACATGTCTCCCTTTTCTCACCTGTCTATGCACATAAGTTCTCCCTGATGGCTGACACTTTCCTTATTATTTGACTTAATGTTTGAACTCCTTGATAGAAAATTCAGTGGTAGGCAGCTGCTGACAAATGTTTTATCAAATGACTTTATGTTTGTTGTGGTCATTCATTCTAGATTGAATGTCACTCTGCTTGACCTGCAGGAGGGAATGTTTATGCTTTTGTTTATTTCATTGTAATGTGACTGGTTTTCCTTGACAGATAATAGGTAGAAAATGGGATGAATGACAGCTTAATTGTGCATTGAAATGCTTTTGACTTCTCTTCTACATTGGGAACATTTTAGTTACAAGATTGATTCTATGTTTTGCTTTATCCCATAGGATTAAAGAATGGGTTGAGCAAATGCAGAAAGAGCTTGTCACCTTGGCAGACACAGCCACAGCTGGGAAGAGCCTTACCGAGGTAAAATTTGTAAAAACTGAATTTAAAGATAGTGTGCTCTCAGTAACGAATCAACAAGACAGTGATACAAATTCTTGTTTGATATTCAAATCCATTAACTCCTGTATTTCATTTTAAGCACAATTTTACATAAAACAACAATTTTCCTTAAATGACTAATACAAATACAATTCCCATATCTGCTTGTGTGTTCTGTTTTATTCTGTTTTTATCTAGATTTTTCTGAGAAACAGGAACCTCTATACTGTAGAGCAAAATGATGCAGAAGAGCTGGTGGCCAGAGCAGCCAGGAACATAGAACAGCTGTTGCAGAAGAGGTCTGCTGCCTTGGAGGTAGGACTCACTGCAAGTAGAGAAACCAACTGTCAGTTTGCAAGTTTAAGTAGATGCTGTGCAGGAACCTCTTTGTCAACAAAGGCTGAAACAGGGCACACTTTTCCATCTGTTCCTTTTGCAAACCAAAACATTGAATGTGGATTTAAAGGTGCAAGATGGTAATAGTTGTTTCTCCTGTGATTTTCCTGTGAAGTTGTTGAGGAAAACATACATGCCAAGAGATCACAAAAACAAAATAAGGGTTATTTTAGTGTTTCTTTTCAATTTTGTTGTTTCTACCCCCTAAATCTGTATGCTCTCCTTTGATGAGCCCAATTGATTGGTGTTATTCATTCTTCAATTTAAGAGTAGATATCTTTTGTTCAGAAAGATCAAACATTTATTTAACTTTTAATTCTACAAATGTTTGAACATTCTATCAGTTTACCCCTTATCTGAAACGGTAAACATGCCGTTTTGACTGTTGTGTGTTCGGGAGTTGTGGCCTAGTGGTTAGAGCAGTGCGCTTGTGCTCTGAGAAGGGTGCAAGTACCTGTTTAAATCCCCAGAGCCTGCACTCTGGGTCCATGAGCAAGACCTTTGACCCCCGATTGTGGCAGCCCACTGCTTCCCAAGAGGATGGGTTAAGATGCAGAAGTGAATTTCTCCATTGTGAGATTGACGATGTTCAACAAAAATGTGAACAAACAACTAAAATTAATTTGTTTTTCCAAGGCTGATAGACACTAAAACTAGAGGTTAACACATTAAACTTTGTTTTTTATTGATTTGGTCTCAAACTCTAAACACTTTGGTTCACCCTTAAGGTGTATTTATACCTGTCACATTTGGCGCAACCAGAGTTTGTTTCCCTCCTTAGTGTGGACCTAAGTGGTCCGGAGCTAATAACCAAATAGACTTTGGTATGGTTCCCTTTAGGTATGAATAAAATCTGGCCTCAGCCCAACAAATGCAGAAAGAATCGGTCTGTTTGGACTTAGCAAGCTCCCATAGTAGTAAACATAGTAAAAGGTGTAAAGTTGATTAAAAAAAAAAGTGTTTCAATCTTTTCATGGTGATTTCAGAAATTTGTACAACAGATGTATAATGCTCCAAAAAGAAAATTTTGGAAAAACAAAATGAACCATTACAGATTATTGGCACACCTACCAGAAGCTCTGTCTTGAACCAGCTTTTCCTGAATATCTCCCAACGTTGTTTTTCTGCAATAAGGTTTTTTTTTCTCATAAAAATCAAAGAAAAATTATTTTGACAGAAGAAGTAGGGATGCTCTTTTGGGGTTAATAAGGTGGCTTTAAAAGAAAGCTGTTTTAATTAAGCTCTAGAAGAGATGTTTGTCTTCCCCCCTTACCTCCAGCAAAGACACCTGGCAGTTGCTGCTGCCTCTCCCCACTTTGGTACATTCTGCACGGCAGACTTCCCCGATTACTTCTGTCCTTCCACCACCTTTCCCTTACTCTGCAACTCTGTTCCCTCAGCAGGCTTGTCCAATCTAACGTTGTCCTCCAATTTACTGCTGAATTTCTTTGCTCCAAAAGTCGGTATGGCTGACTTCATCATCCTGGTTCTTGATGCTCTCTCTGCTGGGTTTCTGATTTCCCTTTTGCATTTTTTCTAAGCCAAAGCAAGGCTTTGTTTTTGGTCCACTCTTAAAAGCATCAAACTCAACGCTATTTCTGACGATTTGAATTGAAAAAGCTCCCTGGATGGGAAGCAAAACATCTTCAAACTTGGAGACAAAGTCCAGTAGATTGTTTTTTTTTTTTTTAAACTTTTTTTTTATCACATGTATGACTGAGAATCTTTACCAGCACATATCCGATGGTTACCTACCCTTGTCCACTACATTTTTGTGCAGTTTGACTCACATTGAAAACAGTATGTTTTACTGGATTTTTCTGTAATTATGTACTCAGTAGTGAAAATATTATATTTTAGACATTGCAAATAAAACAAAGCACAATAAATCTACATTGATCAACATTTTACTAATGTTGATCATGTTGATCATATATTGTGCATCCCACTACTTGTTTTTTAAACAAAAGATGATTTTTAAGCATATTTGATTAAAAAAAATACGTTGGAGTCTGTGAGGGAATCCATCCATCCATCAATCCATCCATCCATCCATGGATGGATGGATGGATTGATGGTTTTATGCAGTCTACTCACATGAAATTAACTATGGTTGCATGTGAATTAAAGGCAGGTATTAAAAACAACACCTAAGCTGCTCATAATTCAGTTTTTGTTTCATTTTTGTCAACGTACAATTTTTCTGTTGATACACTGTTACATATGAACAGTTTCCAATATTATTTCTTTACTTTTCTGTAAGCATCTGAGGAATATGTTTAATATGGAGGACCTGTTGGATGTACTGGCTGAGGGGAATTTGAGAAATTTAAAAGAAAAGTGTTCAGAAACTTAGCTTCATCTTATTATTTTTTCAGCAGTAGGGGATGCAGTAATGAAAGGCTTGACCCTGGGGAGTTTCTTTTTTTCCCTTCTCCACCCCCCTTTTTTCTCTGAAAAGTAGGTCAGAGAGGCAGGTCTTGATCATGAATTAAAACAGTTTCGATGTGATGAGAGAGCTTTCCCAACACCTCATACTATGGCTTTATAAGGCTTCTTGGTAATTGTCTGATTGGTGAAGGAACAAAAGTGTTTATGGATCTTCATAAACACATCTCTGACTTGTCGGTAAACATCATAGTGTTATCATAGAGTGCTCTGGTGCAAGAACATGCATAAAAAATTTTAACATAAGTTTGCATTGGAGTGAGAAAAAATTGTTTTCATAGCAAGTTAAGTTGTTTTTGGTATGAAGGGTTAGTTACGATTCATTGTTAGTGGGTCATTTGTGTGCCTGATTAAATCTAACCCTTTGACACATCACTGTCAATTTATGACATTTTTTCTTCAGTCCCTCCTGCCAATAGCTTTACAGAAAGTATTTGATTTCTCTGTCCTGAAGGGTGTGGATGGAAAACTAACAGTGAGCAAGTCTTAAGTAAAATGGCTATGTAAACAGGATAGATATCAGGACAGATGGAAAGAAACAGTTACTGTTGCACAGGATGGCTTTAGATGGGCAAACAAAGAATAAAGAAGGCTTTAAGAACTATTGTTATACAATAATTTAATAATTGGCTATTATTATAATGTGTTTGAAAATAGAAACACCGGCCAACTTTAATTAGAAAATACAAGTTACTTTTTCCAGGGTATTCTGGTTTTGTTTAGATTCAATTTTTGCTGACTGATCTCTGTGTAGTAGGTTTAGCTCTGGATTTTACCTTCTTAAAACAAGTGGCTAGTTTTTTTTGTTTTTTTTTTAGAGCAGAAACTTCCTTTAATCTTCAGTACCTTTGAAAAAAGAGCAGAGAGGACTAGCAATGTCAACAAAATGTCCTTTAGCCTAAGGCACTCAAACAACTTTTGTCTAAAATCCACTTGGTTTTAAAGTTTTTCAAACATTCCAAACATTTTTTCTCCTCTCTTATAAAATCTTATTGATCCTTGTATTTGCAGAGTCAGATAATTTTAGAGGCCACAGTTTGTGATGCACAGTTTCAAAAACAAGTGTTTGGCTTAGAATGGCTACTCATGCTTCCATAAATAAATGTGTGGCAGAATGTAACATGCATTATTAATGCCTACTTGGCTTCACAATGTTGAAAGAAATTACCTTGTCAAATTTCACAATGAACTGTGGTTTGAGCTACACAAGGTAGCTCAGATTTGTAAAAGCCTTTAGTTTTTAATTATTCTACTATTAGGTATTTTTCACCACTCTAAATTTTAAAGGTATGGTGTGTAATAATTTAAGGGATTCAAATACAGAATATATTCCATTCGCATATATTATTTATTATCATCTATGAACTTAAAGTATGTTAATGGTAGTAGGTCTACCATTTCTGAAGGCAGACATCTTTGCGCTATGGCAGCACACTGCTGACATACTATTTACTGTAGAGATCGCCATTACAATGTGACAATGTGTCATTGACCATGAGTGATCATGTGATTCTGGAAAAGCATAAAACATTCTATCAATGTGGAAAACCAAGGAAATGCTTTGAGACAGAGGACAGATGCCTATTGTCAATGAAAATGTCTTCACATCCGGCACAGCGAAAATTGTTGCTGAATATGTTTTTTTTCTTCAAAGGACTAAGATGTCTACAACAAATGGTACTGAACTTTGGGAGATAACAAAAATAAACCGGACAACAGAACATTTCCTGCGTGAGCTGTTCTTATTGGGTGCCCCATTCATTTGGAGGGTAAAAAAAGTATTTTTTCTCTCTTTCTTGATACTTGCACTGGAAAAAAGTCCCCTCTAAGAGACAGCTTGTATCGGGATACGTTTGGAACTCTTGGCCTTAGATTGATAGACTGACTATGTAATAGATTAATCGAAATTATATGGTGAGGCACTGCAGTGACCTCAACAAATAAATAGCTAAAGCAAAGCCAGTGCTAGAAAAACTGATGCTGTTGTTAAGGACAGATGTATTGAGGACTAAATACACTTACACTAAAAAATGTTTTATTGAAGCACTGCGTCCCTCACAGGAGGTGCTTGGTGGTTTGCTAGAATTTTTGAGACCGATCAATAATCTTTCTCCATGGTGTTATCAAACTCCTCTGAGGTTCACGTTTTTGCCTTTGCAACCACCTGGGAACAGCATACTCGGGCTTGAAATACCTGCTTGCTGTCTCAAGCTTCCCAAAAGCTAACCATGCTTGATAAAACTCCTTCTTCAGCTTGACAGCATTATGGCCACAGCTACAGCCAGCTGCATAAACAATAGTGGCAAAGTAAATGGTTCTCTTAGAGTCAATGTCCCCAGCCTCTCTTGGAATCTGAGCAAAGCTCTCTTAGGGGAGGGAATTAAATACAGACTTTACCAAGGGTTCTGCCAGATGTTCCCAGCAGATCCTCACTACTCTGGTCTGCTGAGTCTGTCTGTCTTTCTCCTCTT